TTTATTTTCTGGCCTAAGTGAAAAAAATCAGCATCATTTAATTGTAAAGCAGATGTAAAGACATATTTTTTAAAATATATATTCACAAGCATACATACATACCGTGTGTGTGTGTTTGTTATATGAATAGAGAAAATGAGACACAGAGAGGAAGAGAGAAATGCAAGAGAGAGTGGCAGCCAGAGTAAGAATAGATAGAAATGGTTGAAATTAGCCAATGTGACTTAACATTGGGGAATTCAAATGAGGTTTATGGGAAAAAGTAGTAGAATAACTTTAACACTCTGTGCCAGGCTCAGACCTGGAAACAGGATACTCAGATGAATAAGACACAGCCTGCGCTCAGGTAGCTCATTGTCTAGTTGGGGGAGGAGACTTGTACATATGTAACTTGTAACACAGTAAAATAAGTGCAATTGTAAAATGAAAGCAGCATTCAGTGTGGGTATAGTATGTATCTGTGGGAGAGGGGCTGCAGAAGAAGACTTCATGCAGGAATTGGTGCTTGAGCTGAGTCTTGAAGGGCCGGTGGGATGTGATCAGGTGGGCATGGGTTGGAAAAGGAGTGAGGGTGGTAGGAGAAGGACGTTGCAGGAGCTCAAATGCTCAGAGGCATGAGATACAGTGGATAATAGGGGTCTTTTCAGAGATATTTGTTTAAGGAATGCACACATCACGAGGGGACTTGCAAATATGTCAAAGCTTGGTTTGCAACAGAGACCTGATGATGGAGGGTTTATTTGGACGTTATTGCAGGAGAGTAATGTGATGAGAACTGTATAACAGTGGGTGAGACAGTAGATAGGTGGGAAAAATACTGGAGGCTGAGATGGCGATTAGGAGGCCGTTGTTCAGAACAGAAAAGATCTGGAGGAGGTAAACTGAGGCAGTGGTGGTTCACACGGTGGGAGGTTGATGATTGAGGCAGTGGGAGTGATAAAGAGCGTGATGTATGGTTTGATGGGAGGAGATCAGGGAAAAGAGGCCTCTGAGGTTGTGGTCTCACCCAGAGTATGTGGAATGAAACATAAGGTATGGAAAGGAAATGCTAGAACAGGTAAATATGTTTCGTTTTACCTATGTAAGTAAAGGAAAACAATTATATTTTGCTAATGATTATGCTTTGAATCGTTAGTTTAGGTATTTCATTTTAAAAATGATTATGCTTATACTGGAGATCGATTCTCAAAATTTTTTCACTGATAGGAGTCTGATCAAAAATGATTGGAGGGGCTTCCCTGGTGGCGCAGTGGTTAAGAATCCGCCTGCCTATGTAGGGGACACAGGTTCGAGCCCTGGTCAGGAAGATCCCACATGCCATGGAGCAACTAAACCCCTGCACCACAGCTACTGAGCTCGCGAGCCACAACTACTGAAGACTGCGCGCCTAGAGCCCGTGCTCCGCAACAAGAGAAGCCACCGCAATGAGAAGCCTGTGCACCGCAACGAAGAGTAGCCCCTGCTCGCCGCAGCTAGAGAAAAGCTCGCGCGCAGCAACAAAGACCCAACGCAGCCAAAAATAAATAAATAAAATAAATTAAAAAAAAAAAAAAAAAAAAAAAGATTGGAGACCAGGGAAGTCCCTGGCGGTCCAGGGGTTAGGACTCAGTGCTTTCATGGCCATGGCCCAGGTTCAATCCCTGGTCAGGGCACTAAGATCCCACAAGCCGCGTGGTGCGGCCAAATTAATTAATTAATTATTTAAAATGATTGGAGACCAAAGGAGGCTTTAAGGCCGTGGTTTCCAAACTTTATATTCCTGGAACCCTTTACACTCTTTTTATTTAGGACCCCAAGGAACTTTTAATTATGTGGAATTACTTATTTATATTTATTCTGTTAAAATTTACTGTATTAAAAGGTGAGAAATTTAAAAATATTTGTTTAGTAATTCATTTAAAGATAATAATAACAAACTCAGTACATGTTAGCATAAACAACATACTTATTATGAAAAACAATTCTATTTTCCAAAAGAAAAAGTTTAGTGAGAAGGATGGCCTTGTTTTACATTTTGGCAAATCTCCTTAATGCCTGGCTTCATGGAAGACATCTGGATTCTCATGTCTTCTCCGTACTCAGTTTATTGCAATGTGCTTTTTTGGTTGAAGTTTATGAAGGAAATCTGGTCTCACACAAAGGAAAAGGGAGGGGTTTTCAATAGTCTTTTCAGGTAACTGTAGAAACTCTTCTTTGATACTATCCCAAAACTTGATGTATGATAATTTTCCAAGGGTTAATTGCAATATGGAACTTGAAACCACATGAATATACTTTCTGTGCTCTGTAATATTAAATCAGTTTGTTTATTCTGTACTTTGAATAGGTCAGCATTCAAGTCTGATTTTGTAACATCATGAATTGGTTATGTGAAAAATATTGGTTCTCTGAGTTATGCAAGAACTTTAAAATGTTGACACATTTTATTAAACAACAGCTAAAAAATCACTTTTGTTAGTATCACCAATAGGCTTATCAGAAAATCTTTATGTGTTGGGAATCTGTCAAATCATGGTGTTGGATAAAAGTTTCCAAAAATTCTAATTTTTGCTGGAAAGCTCAAATTTTATCATTGGTAACAGTTATTGTCAGTTATTTTCCTTGTTTGTTTTCAAGAAAATGTCTGCCAAATACTCAAGTCTGAGTAACCATAGTTTGTGTCTGTCAGACATTCTTTCAAATACATACAGGGTTACATGGAAAAAGTGGCTACTTTAGCTGGCTACTAAAACAATTGCATACGTGCTTTTTCTCGGCAACAACTGTAATTCAGATGAAGCATTTTTAAAAAATTTGTTTGCTTTTACTGTGAGTGAGTGAGTGGTGATGAAACATATAAGGTATGAAGTTGGATACCAATATCTTGATTTGTACTAAGGCTCTTGAAGTTTTTCTCACCATGTCTTTTGCACCAATAGCATAAATGGAGACAGTGAAAAAAGCAGGAAACATGTCAGTATCGTGAAAATAGTTTTGACTTCATGGACTCCATTGAAAGACCTTGAGGACCATCTTTTTAATAACTGGTGGTTTAAGGTCATCCTAATACAGATGTGGGAAAGCATCATGTCACCTTCTGCTTTTTGAAAAGTTTAGAGAAAAAGCATTTCAAATTTCTGCTACTTAAAAAAAAATGAGATGATCTTATCTGAAACCCATGGCCTTGAAATAGTTTTTTAAAATTTCTTTCTTTTTAGTCTAAGGTAAAATGTTTAAAAGTTACTGTTTTAACTTTTCTAGCATTGGCATTTATTAATCAGAAATGCCTTTTTTTTTTTTCTTGTCCCTAATGCCTACCATTTGACAGAGCCCTGACAACCAAATCACACAAAAGTAAATTCATTCCCTCTCCAAAGGCTTTCCGAAATATAGTTTTAGTTAAGGGTGACATTTTTTGGCTTCACAAAATTGATTGTTCAGGAACAGGTCTTATTTCATCGAAGTATATTATATGTAATAATGATATGTATAAATCAATCCAACTCATGTTTTAATGAGATAGTATCTCTTCCCTTAAATCATACAAAAGTGTGCTATATTTTAAAAGGTTTATTTAAAGTATAATTATTTTCATCTATCTCATTTCTTCAAGAATACTTTTTTTTTTTTTTTTTTTTTTTTGCGGTACGCGGGCCTCTCCTGTTGCGGAGCACAGGCTCTGGATGCACAGGCTCAGCGGCCATGGCTCACGGGCCCAGCCGCTCCGCGGCATGTGGGATCCTCCCGGACCGGGGCACGAACCCGCGTCCCCTGAATCGGCAGGCGGACTCTCAACCACTCTCAACCATTGCGCCACCAGGGAAGCCAAGAATACTGGTTTTATTTTGGACCAAGAATACTTTTTAATGCAGTCACAGATGGTCATCTGGGTCCTGAGTTAAATGCTAATTTCCTAAAATGTTTATGCGTTGTATTTGTTAAACCCATGTATTCTTTCTAATCATGGTCCAGGTCGCAATTTGAAAGTAATGAAAATGACCTTAATAACTCACCTAATGAGTCATAGTTAAAATTAGTTTTTAGACTACGGCTTTTGTGTTGTTTATAGGGTGATTCCCCAAGAACAGACGATGATGCAGAAGAAAGGCAAATGTTATGAGTTAGAAGCCAGAGGAAATTTTTATGAAAAACAAAACTGGGGTTATTAGATACTTAATAGGGAGAAAAAGATTAAGCCAACAAACAGCCTTAAATATTGCCCTGTGGTCTCAAGAAAGGGATAGTGAGTAGTAAGGGTTTTTCTTTCTAACTGTAAAAGAATTTCAAATTTACAGAAAAGTGGAGAATAGTATAGCAAGCAACCATATGGTCACCACTTAAATGTAACCGTTGCTAATATTTTATTGCATTTTCTTCCTCTTTTTTTTTTTCAAAGATATTGTAAACTAAAGACATGATGTTTTACTCCTAAATGAGGTAGTTTGCATCTCTAAAAGATAAAACCTTATAAATATACATTTTGCGATGATGGGATGATCTGAGAGCGCCAGAGGGCCTTTGTTTTGCAGACTGGGGTGTACCAGGCTATGAAGTCCAGCAAAATACCTTGGCATGTGAAGGGGATTTTATAAAATTGTTTAGAGGACCTAGAGGAGGAAGAACACTGAACCAAGGGTAAAGGTGTGGAAGAGAGACAGAGATATTTTAATGGGCAAGTTTGATTAAATTTTGCTATTTGGTGTGTGATTTAACCATTTTCTCTATCTCTCCATAATGTCTTAATTTAAATTTACATTATTCATTCATGCTTTAGAAATTGGATTATTTTTTTGACTGGGCCCTGACCTCAGGGTGGGTGTGGAGTGAACACCAAGGCTGCCCAATGTGTTCACTGGAACTGCACAACTAACATCAGAGGGATCTAGGAACCCATACTTTGAAGAGTTTTAGCCAGTTAGTAACAGAATGTCCTATTAGAGTTATTTAATTACACCTCTTTTTTTTCTTGCATTGAAGTAATACTGTCTGGCTTAATTTGTGCAATGTCTTCTTGTGTTTAGGTCTCGGATGTGGTTTATTATACACTGCAACAGTGACCATTACATGCCAGTATTTCGACAGCCGCCGAGGCCTTGCACTTGGCCTGATCTCAACAGGTACATTTTCAATATAAGTACAGCATTGCTACTCTTTAGCCTTCTAATCAAAGTTAGGAGTTACAAAGCACAGATATGTTTAACCAACCATGCCGCCGCTGCCATTCACGTAGCACAATTTATTTTACTCTAGTCCTAGAAGGAAATTTTATTTTCCCCTGTAAATATGGGTGTAGCTTTCAAAAAACCCTAAAGATACATGTATGAAAAAGCTGGGGCATGAGATGTCCAGTATAATATAGGAAAAGAAAACTTATGGGTCCAGTAAATTGAGAGTCACATGCTGGTGAGAGCCTTGCTAAAAGAAGCAGAGAGCACTTAAGTAAAGCACCTGATCCCTGGGAGAGAGAGGAGAAATGGAAGGAAAATGGGTCCCTTCAGGCCATTGTCAGGAAGAACAATGCTGTGACACCTCTCCAGCTCCATTTATTGTGGAACGTAGGGTTTTTTCCAAAGTACTGGTTTGTGAATACGTCTCGTTGCTCTATTTGCATATCCAAACAACAGACTGTTTACACTGGTTATTCTTTTAATGACGGGGTGGGGCGGGGAGCGGCTGTGTGTGTGTGTGTGTGTGTGTGTGTGTGTGTGTAAGTGTAAAAGCCTTCTGGACTTGCTCTGATATTGTAAAGTGGTGTTTTACTTTTCAGATGGATTTTTTTCTAAGCTATTTAGAGAACTTATCAAAATTTCTGTGGCCAATGCTTTAGGAGTTTGCTTAGGAGATAAGGCTGCCAAGCTTACTAAAACTTGTATTTAAGTTTACATTGCTACTTGTTCATGGGTAGATATTCCTGGGAGGTCAGACGTTCAGATAAGCTGAAGTACTTCAGTAGTGTATCTGGCAGCGGGATCCAAACTAATGTTTTGTTCCTGAGGCCAATGCAGTGGCAACAGAGTGCTTCCACATCAAATTAAATTGAGCTGGATATTTCCCCAAGGTGGTTTAAGGAAGCATTGCCAGGAAAGAAATGTGAATCATGCCCTAGGAGGAAACAGGACCGGAGTCTGAGGGCATGGCTAAGGCAGAACTGGGAGAAGAAAGAGAAAAAACAAAAGATGGAGAAGCCAGAGCAGTTGGAAGGCAGTTTAAAGAACCTGACAGCCGCATAGCACAGGGAGGTGAGCTCGGTGCTTTGTGACCACCTGGAGGGGTGGGATAGGGAGGGTGGGAGGGTGGAGATGCAAGAGGGAAGAGATATGGGAACAGATGCATATGTATAACTCAATCACTTCATTATAAAGCAGAAACTAACACACTATTGTAAAGCAATTATACTCCAATAAAGATGTAAAAAAAATAATAATTAAAAAAAAAAAAAAAAGAACCTGACAGCATCTCTCACAAGTGTGGGAGGGAGTGTGAGAGCAGGGCCAGCAGCTTAATGGATAATAGGTCTTACCTATACTGTATTTTTTGTAGAGGCACTATAACGTAGTGACAAGCCCAGACCCTGGAGCCAGTCTGCTTGGTTTTGAATTCTGTGTCACTCAGTAGCTGTCTGGTGATGGACAAGTTACCTGTTCTGTGAAATTAACTGTTAAGCCTCAGTTTTCTGAACTGTAAAACGGGGTTAATAATAGCACCCATCTGTTGGGCTGCACCCTGTAAGGTCTGTGCTTGCCCAGCTTCAAGACAGAAGAAAGAGCCTGGAGTCAGCGACAGAGACATCAGTGGTTTAATGGAAGGGGGGAGCTTACAAATCCAAAGCAAGATCCTGGAGTGATGCCCCAGGTGTGTGGTAGAGGGTGGGCAAGACATGGATGCGGGTTTTCGCTCCCGGGGTGGGGAGGGGAGATTGCCAGTTATAGGGGAATTGACATCAGGTTGGCTCATTGGTTACCAGGAAACTAGCAGAGAGGCACACACCTCCCCACCCCTTGGATAAAAGCAATCACTAGGTGGGGCCTGGGGCCAGTATATAGGAAGGTCAGTCATGCGAGTAGGTGTAGGTAAAGCAGGCACTGGTCAGGCAGGGGATGTACAGAGAGCAAGAGAACAGCCATCTTGGGTGGCCTGACCATACACCATCACATTGGGTCATTGGGAATATTGAAGGAACATATGTGTAAGGCACATGGCAGGGGCTCTAAAAGTGTTAGTCATTATAATTATGACCTAGGTTTCCTTCAACGTCCGAATTTATTTGTGATGAAGATGTTGGAAATTGTACGCTGAGAGAGCTGCTCTTGCTTTCACTCAGTCTGAAGAGGAGAGCATAAGAGACTGGGCTGTGGCACACTGAACCAAAATGGATTGACTGTGGACAATCTAGATTTGGCAGAATCCGAGTTGTTAGTTGTAGCACATAGGAAGTTAGATGAGGCAAAGTTAAGGAGCAGCATGAATCCACTGTCTTTGTCTATTCAGACTGCTGTAAAGTAGCATAGATTGAGTGGCTTATACACAATAGAAATTTATTTCTCACAGTTCTGGAGGCTGGAAGTCTGAGATCAGGGTGTCAAGGTCAGCGTGGTTAGATTCTGCTGAGAGCCCTCTTCTGGGTTACAGACTGCCACCTTCTCCCTTTGTCCTCATGTGGCAGAAGGGAAGAGGAAGCTCTCTGAGGTTCTCTTTTATAATGGCACTAATCCCATTCAGGAGGGTTCTACCCTATGACCTAATCACCTCTCAAAGGAGAAACCTCCTAATTCCATCACACTGGGGGTTAAGATTTCAATTTACAAATTTTGGAGAGACACAAACCTTCACACTGTAGTATCCACCTTCAGTGAAAGTGGTGACAAGAAAAACAAAACTCACAGTAGAGTTTTTCTTTAACTGAAAAAAAAACCCAAAAGCAAAATATAGTTGAAATAATGTGACCTGGGACTTCCCTGGCGGTCCAGGGGTTAAGACTTCGCCTTCCAGTGCAGGGGGTGCGGGTTTGATCCCTGGTTGGGGAGCTAAGATCCCACAGGCCTCGGGGCAAAAAAAACAAAGCATAAAGCAGAAGCAGTATTGTAACAAATTCAATAAAGACTTTAAAAATGGTCCATGTCAAGAAAAAAATCTAAAAAAAAAAAAGAAAGAAAGAAATAATGAGACCTAGTTGAAATATTGTGATCCAGTTGAAAGAAAGAAACATGGGCATGAAATGGAGGTTTTGGGGAAACGATCTTAATCCCTGGTGAACAGGGATTGATAAACTAATGCCCGTGGACCAAAACTGGTCTATTACCTGTTTTTGGACAGCTCGTGAGCTAAAAATGGTTTTTACATTTTTGTTTTGTTGAAAAAAAATCGAAAGAAGAATATTTCATGGCACATGAAATTAGGTAAAATTAAAGTTTCAGTGTCCATAAATAAAGCTTTATTGAAACACAACCATATTCGTTCCTTCACGATTCTTCTCTGGCTGCTTTCACGCTTCAAGGGCTGAGTTGAGCATTTGTGACAGAGGTTGTATGGCTCACTATGCCTTAATTATTTACTCTCTAGCCCTTTATAGAAAAAGTCTGTTGACCCCTGGTCTTAATCAAAGCATGAGTGTATCTCTTATTGTTTCAGGTTCCCTGAACATCAATTCATATTCTCCCTTTTTGTGATAATGTATACTTTAGGCATGCACGGAAGCATAATTAGTGTTTTATTTCACTTTTTCCTTTATCGTGTTGATTTTTAAATTGGGATTTTATTTTTGAAGATTAAAAATTATGGTTTTACAGTTTACACAGTTCCACAAGAGAGCTCTAATTACTCTTCACTGCCCTGAAAGAATCCTGCATCTTTTTTTTTTCTCTTCTTTTTGGCCAAGCATCGTGGCTTGTGGGATCTTAGTTCCCCCACCAGGGATCGAACCTGGGCCCTCTTCAGTGAGAATGCGGAGTCCTAACCCCTGGCCCACCAGGGAATTCCCTCCTGCATCGTTCTAAGCCATAACTTCATTCTCATGGGCTGTGGGCTAAAGAAACTAGTGTCCAAAGTGGAATTTTATTTTGCTGCCCTGTCGTACACTTAGCATATCATAGGTGTTTGATAAAACCTATTGAATTGATTTCATGATGTTGACATATTTCATGATGTTGACAGATAAAGTTAGTTGGTGAGCAAAGGGGAATGATCTATTTTCTCAACTTAAGGTCAAAATACAGAACTTTCCAAATACCAAGAATATTTTTAAGTGTCTAATTATACGGCACTTTGTTAGAACTTCTACAAAGAAATGGTGTTGGAGAAAAATATGAATTAATAATGAATGGATGCTAATGCAGTATGGAATTATATGAAAGGTCCTCTTTTCAGTTCTTTCAGTTCGTTTTCTGAAATGCTTTCAACTTTTGAAGTATGTGCCACTTTTAAAAAGATGAGGCAGAATTCAATTCATCTACTTTTATAACTTCTCAGTAGTCAGCAAAGAGACACTTTCTTGGTAGCCACAAAAAGATACTATTTTAGCTGTCATTACGTTAATGTGAGCTATTAATTAACGTTTGCAAGCGAAGTCTTTTTTCTTTGGGGATGAAGGAGTTAACTTTAAATATATTAGGAAGGGACAACTGTGGTACCAAAAAAAAAAAAAAAAAGTTTTCTTATAACTCTAAGACAAAGCCATTTGGTTATTTGTAAGAATTTTTGATGGGTTTTTACCGTAAGCTTGGCATCCTATTGGGGTTTTGATATAATTTGGTATAGACCGTTTAAAAAGTATGATCAACCTGTTTAGACTATTTTTTTTTTATTACAGATCTACTTATTTCTTTCCTGTGTTTTCACGTGACATTTCTCGATGGTATTTAAATTTTAAAACAATCAAAAACTTGAAATCAGAGCCATATAAGAACACTGCAAATTAATTGGGCTAATGTAACTTTCCATTCCAGTGTGGTTAGGGTGATCTATGCTTAAAAAATGGAGTATTTACAGTGTTGCCCAAAAAGTTGCCCACTTTACTCTTCTCATAGTTTATTAATATCAAGCATCCATTCTGGTGATTAGCAATGGATTTGAGCTATCAAACCACTATAAATATCCTAAAACTAAAATATATCCTTCATCAAAAAATAAAACGTGAGAACTTTTCTTTTCCAAAAGGAATGCATACATAACATGGAACCAGAAACGTACTTTTTTGGTACTTTTTTAAGTACCCAAAAAGGAGTTGCGTAGGTATTTGTTAAGGACGTTGGGCTCCTGGTGTCAGACTGGGTGTGAATCCTTCTTATGGCATTTACAGCTCTCTGATGTGTGGCAAATTTCTCAAACTTTCTAGCCCTAGGTCACTTCAAGTGTAGACTGGGAATAATAATAGGACCTACCCAATAGGGTTATTGTAAGGATGAAACAAGATGGTGCGATGTAATGTGTTTAACGCAGTGTCTGACATACAAATGCGAATTCTTAAAATAAATGGTCACTATTGTTGTTACTATCTTCAGCATTCTTGCTGTGATTTTAATATGAAGGCACACACATGAATGCCAGTGTAAAAAAAGAAATCAAATCGTAATACTGATAATGCTTGTCCTGAGAGCCCCAAATGATAAGAGATTAAACAGTTACCATTTCCTTTTTAGGTTCAAGCATTGGACTTTTTATATATGCTGCTCTGCAGAGGCTGCTGATTGAGTTCTATGGACTGGATGGATGCCTGCTGATTGTAGGTGCTTTAGCTTTAAATATATTAGCCTGTGGCAGTCTGATGAGACCCCTTCAGTCCTCTGATTGCACTTTGCCTGAAAAAATAGCTCTGGAAAATGTACCAGGTAGATACTCGATTTACAATGAAAAAGACAAGAACCTGGAAGAAAACATAAACATTCTTGAAAAGACCTGCCGTGGTGAGGAAACATGTAAGAGCACTTTAGCCAGTGGTGACTGGAAACCAGAGAGCCTGCTTCATAAAAACCCAACAACAATGGCACACACAAAAGAGACTGAAACTTACAAAAAGAAAGTTGCAGAACGGACATATTTTTGCAAACAGCTTGCCAAGAGGAAATGGCAGTTATATAAAAACTACTGTGAAGAAACTGTGGCTCTTTTTAAAAACAAAGTATTTTCAGCACTCTTCATTGCCATCTTTCTTTTTGACATCGGAGGGTTTCCACCTTCATTACTTATGGAAGATGTAGCAAGAAGTTCAAATGTGAAAGAAGAAGAGTTTCCTATGCCACTTATTTCCATTATTGGCATTATGACAGCAGTTGGTAAACTCATTTTAGGGATACTGGCTGACTTCAAGTGGATTAATACCTTATATCTTTACGTAGCTACCTTAATAATTATAAGCCTGGCCTTGTGTGCAATTCCATTTGCCAAAAGCTATGTCATGTTGGCACTACTTTCTGGGATCCTAGGGTTTCTTACTGGTAATTGGTCCATCTTTCCTTATGTGACCACGAAGACTGTGGGAATTGAAAAATTAGCCCATGCCTACGGGATATTGATGTTCTTTGCTGGACTTGGAAATAGCCTTGGACCACCAATTGTTGGTAAGATATTTATCTTAAAGTCAATCCACTGTACTGTTCTTCTTTGTAACATCTCTGGATACAGAAATTCATAGTGTAAGAATAGCACAGATTTATACAACATAAATCTGCGTGGAATGTCTCCTGATCGTGATTTATTCAAAATCACTTTGATGTAGTTGGAAAAGCCAGTACACTTGCTCAGGAATCTGTGTTTATTCTTCATCTGGGAGAAACCCAAAATGCCTGCTTATTCTTGTCCAACTATTTGAGAAATTCTCCTCCTCTAACTCCCATTAGGCCACTTAGGGAGTAGATTGGGTAATATATATCCTAATCTGCACTGTATATAAATTTTTTTAATTAATTTTTTTATTGGAGTATAGTTGGTTTACAATGATGTGTTAGTTTCTGCTGTACAGCAAAGTGAGTCAGTTATACATACACATATATGCACTCTTTTTTAGATTCTATTCCCATATATAGATCATTACAGAGCACTGAGTAGAGTTCCCTGTGCTATTCAGTAGGTCTTTATTAGTTATCTATTCTATATATAGTAGTGTGTATATGTCAATCCCACGAACTATATATAAATTGATGAACTTAGAGTATTCCTATTCATACTATGTCTATCAAACTCACTTTTTTCTTCCTTTTCAGGTTGGTTTTATGACTGGACCCACACCTATGACATTGCATTTTATTTTAGTGGCTTCTGCGTCCTGCTGGGAGGTTTTATTCTGCTGCTGGCAGCCTTGCCTTCCTGGGATACGTGCAACAAGCAACTCCCCAAGCCAGCTCCAACAACCTTTTTGTACAAAGTTGCCTCTAATTCCTCTAATGTTTAGAGGAATATTGGAAGGCACTGAGGACTGTTTTCTCATAGCAAAATTGCACTGTGCGTGATCTGAATGAATTTTTTTTTTTTTTGCATATCCTATTCTCTATGTACTGTATATATAGCCTCTATCTTCTGTATTTTTTTTCCTCTTTTTTCCTTTTTCCAAGAAGTGGGACTATTCCGTTTTACTGTTATTGATGCGTTCTGGACATTGTGATCATTTTGGCCAGCCTCAGAAGGCTTTCTCTGTGTAAAGAAATACGATTTCTCTGCAGACTCCATTAGTTCCATTGCAAGGCAGCCAGAGGAGACTCTAGCTATTTCAAAACTGGTGCAAGCAGCGTGACGAGATATGTGTGTAGCCTGCCAGGGACTAAATCACTCTCTCCTCTCTGCTAGCCGCGCTAGTAAATAGAAGACTTCGAGCCAGTCAGGAAATGAAAGGGGTTCCTAAAACAGCGTTAAGAATTGTGGTGGCACAAAATTGATCATTTTTAAAAAATGATATTTTAAACTACCGTCAGCAGTTTTCATTACAGTAAGTCCCCTACCTATGAACCTTCAAGTTGTGAACTTTCAAAGATAGGAAGTGCGTTCGCATGTCTAATCACGTAAGTTAGTTCACGTGTCTGGCGTAGATTGTCACGTGCGTGCATGCTCTACAAGTGGTTGTGCTTTTGTGTACTTGACTGTGCAGTACTGTATAGGGTACAGTGGTACAGTATCTTTATTTCAAGCCCAGGATGTCCAGAAGCAAGCGTAAAAGCAGTGATGATGTAGCTGGTACTACTGTACTTTTCAAGGTAATGTACTGTAAGATTAAAAGTGTTTTCTTTATTTTTTGTGTTTGTTTTTTATGTATTGTTTGTGTGAAAAAGTATTATAAACCTATTACAGTACAGTACTATAGAGCCGATTGTGTTAGTTGGGTGTGTAGGCTAACTTTGTTGAACTTGCAAACAAATTGGACTGCGAATGCACTCTCAGAATGGAACTCATTTGTGTGTAGGGGACTCATTGTACTCTGTTTACCTTGATGAACCACCCACATGTTTGGTGCCCACTGAGGATTCATCCTTTCAATTCCTAAGGCGTTTGCTGAGTTGCAGGCAATCTCCAAACAGAGGAGTAGAGTTACTGTAGCCTTTCTTCACGGTTGGCCGCTGGAACCTCGCTCACTTTTGTTTGTCAGCATCCGCTCAGCTGATGTTTCCCAAGAAGTGCTGATTTTACCTGTTTCCAAATTGGAAATGCGTATTTAAACCATTCCGTTCTGGCAAATGGGAAACATCCATTTGCTTTGGGTACAGTGGGGATGAGTTGCAAGTCCTTGCATGTCTTGTCAGTGAAGCATTTATTTGCTACTATCAGATTTTATCACTAGCCAATTTTAATTCAAGGGCAGAACTAAAAATTTGTGTGTGTCTGGATGTGTGTGTGGATGTGCACACGTTGTGCTCCGAGCCTGTGTGCTATTCAGTACGTGGGAAGGGAAAAAGGCAATAAGACATTGATACCCTCCTCCAACTTTATTCACTCTTAAGCAAAATGTTCTGGGAAGAAAATCAACATTTAATATGTGGACATTTTTCTAAGGAAATGTTTTAAAAACTTTGCTATGCATCAGAATCTTCTATAGATCCTTTTTAAAATGTAGTTGCCTGAGTACCACTAGTAGAGACTTTGATTATGTAGTTCTAGGTTGTGGGCTAAGCATCTGTATTTTTAATGAACTCTTTAAGTGATTCTGAGAGCACAACCTCAGTTGAGAATGACTGTTTTAAGATTGACAGCAGAGAAACATTTTTTTTTCTCTTAAATAAAGAAACAAACCAAAAACCCATTGAGGTGAGGGGTTTTTAATAAATGGACAAGTTTGGTTCTTTAAATAGGAGTCACTCTTCCCACTGTGCCAAAATTGTCTTTTCATTTCTTTTGAAATATGTAAGGTTATTTTATACTTCTATGTTGCCTTTCTTCAAAGGCACGTGAAGCACTTTATAAGCATGAATCCCCACAGCACCTCAGTGAGGTCGGTAAATAGTGTTTTTCCAGGCAGTAAACCTGGAGTGCGGGGAATTTCGTAACTGAGTGAATCCTATTCAATAACCCAATAATGGGGCCCCAAAGCACTTGGACTTCTGCTCCATATTCAGACTTCTGGAAACTTTTCTATGCCTCACTCTTTAGTCACTGTCAAGGTTAGTAAGTAAAATAAATAGCATTCAAAAAAAAATTGAAATGTTTTTGTGATAAAAGTTTCTTTTTGCCAATATCATGTTCGGGAAATCCAATAACCTTTTCTTAACTTTTTTTTTTTTTTTTTTTTTTTTTTTTTTT